CTTCCCTGACAGCACCCAGCCCATCCAACACCTGCATCCCTGGGTGTCTCGGCTCCCCAGAAAAGCCTCCCCCAGAGGAGGGGACCCCACTCACCAGCTTGTTCTCTATCAGGTCACACACCACCTTGTTGTTGAAATACTGGATCTGGGTCCACTTGATCCCCTCCTGCACGTATTCCTCCTGGGGAAGCGCAGGGAGAGCCAGGTGGGCCCATGCGCCCGGGCCCCCCCCCCCGGCTCCGGCTGCGGTGCCAGGACTGGCTGGCGGTGGGTGTACAGGGTGTTGGGAATTGGGGAATTGGCGCAGCCCCCCCCCAGCCCCCTCGTACCTGCTCTGCCTTCAGGGTCAGCTCTATGAAGATCTGCTGCAGCTTCTCGTTCACGAAGTTAATGCAGAATTGCTCGAAGCCATTTTTCTGCAAAGGGACAAAACATGAAAGAGAAGATGGGGCTGAGTTGGCTTCTGCTCCTCTCATTGCATCGGGGGGGGACCCCAAAGACCAGAGCCTTCTGCTCCTGGGACCCTTCCTGGGGCCATTGACTGCTCACAGCCCGCTGCTCCAGCTGGGCTCCTGCACCGAAGCCACACATACCTGGAATATTTCAAAGCCGTAGATGTCCAGCACCCCGATGCTGTACTCCTCGTATGGCTTCTGCATAGCCCGGTTGATAGACTGCAGGGAGAGACGGGGCTCGCCTCCTTCGTCGGGTCATACGGCGGTGCAGCCGGCTGCACGCAGGACGTGGATGGCGAGCATCCCCTCCGTGCTGTGGCCGCGCTCAGCCCAGCCCACCAGGACCACGCACCTCCACGAGGAAGTCGAAGACGCGTGAGTAGAGCCCCTTAGCCAGGGCGTCCCGGGTGTAAGCTGCCTGCTCCACGTTGAGGGTGACAGTGATGGATTCGGAGCGGCCGCCCCACTTGCTGTCCATTTTCCTGCTGGTGACCTTCTCGTTGAGGCGGTCCTGGTCGATCCCCAGCAGGTAGGCAGGGAAGGCCAGGGCTGGGCAGAGGGCAGGGGGCACAGTCAGGGCTTTATGCCCCCAGCACGCTGCCTGCAGCCACTGCCAGACCCCCTAACCCCAGCCAAGTGCAAAAGGATAGCAGCAGGGCAGTGACTGGGGATGTGGGACGTGGTCCTCCCTCTGCTAAATCACAGCAAGTGACTCCTGTCATCCGTCCCCCTGTGAATTTAGCTCTGGCTGTGTCACTTGCTCATTGCCTCAGTTTCCCCATGTCTGACGCGGGGAAGATGCTGATGCCGCCTGTCTCCTCTGCCAAGGAATTTGTGCTATGGAGAGTTTGCAATTCATTTCCAAGGGTCTCTGCAAACATCCCCACTCGCCCCCCTGGAGCAGGGAAGGGTCAGCTACTCACAGTCAGCATTTTCCACACGGGCGTAGTTGCCTTCCTCCCGAAAGCTGATGTTTCCCAGATGGAGGATCCCCGCCACGATCTGCAGCACCAGTTGCTGGTCCTCGCCCCGGATGCCGATGACCTGCATGGCATTCTGCGGGTGCGGGAAGCCCGTCAGCCCCTGCTGCGGCCACAGCCGCCTTTGGGGACTTCCCCTCCCAGGCATTCACCATTGTCTCATGGAAGTCGCTGCGGTCATCTGTGCCGTCCACCTGGTACGTGTCCGACTGGTTCAGGTAATAGTAATAATCCGGGCTCATGATCCCCAGGTTCTGCCGCTGCTCTTGGGACGCCCCTTCGATGAGCTGGGAGAGAAATGGAGGCTGTTACGTGGTTACATGGGCCCTGGGCCCCTCAGGAGCCTGGTTGGCTCCCACACACCCCCGCCCCGTACCTGGTAGTAGATGTGGAAATTCCTCTCACACTCGTTCTGGCTCACCACCCGCGACTTCTCCAGCAGAAAGTTGGAAATCTTCCCCCCGTCGGGTTCACCGCCCCGGCTGAACTGGATCTCAAAGTACTTCCCCTGCACCAGCACATCTCCAGCTCAGAGCCGTGGCCATGGCAGCAGGACTCCTCGCTCTCCCTGGCCCTGGCTTCTCTCCCTCTTGTCCCACCACGCTAGAAGCATTTCTGGGATGGATCCTGGCCACGGCGCTGACGCTCTGCGCCTGCCCCGGTGACTTACAAAGCGGCTAGAGTTGTTGTTCCGGACAGTTTTGGCATTCCCGAAGGCTTCCAGCAGCGGGTTGGACTGCAGGATGATGTCCTTCACGTGCTGGGGGCAGAGGAGGGGACGTGGCTGAGCAGGGGGGGGCCGCACGCCTACG